GTCCAACAATCCTTACATGAAAATGAATTTCTTTTCCTAAAAAGGAGAGTGTCAGCTACTCTATGACTGTAGTGTGCAGCTTCCAGCAAAGAAGGTAATTTGCCATGAACCTCCCGAAGCAGCAGCATCCTCTGAGCAGATCCTCCTGGCCTTGCTTTCCCCAGACTTGTTCAGAGTCCTGAAATTGTTTTTCTTTGCCCCTGAAGGCCCCAGGTTCTCACAGCTGTCTGATCTGAGATTGCCATATACTGAAGCAGAGAGGTTGGTGCACAGAGTTGCAGTGACTCTGCAGGGCTGTGCCAAGCTGCTGGCACAGAGATACAGGGCTGAGTCCCCCAGCTCCAAGGTGCTTATGTTCATCTCAGAGTGATAGTCGGAGAATTGGAACCCTGAGAATCGAGCAGGGAAGTTTCCTTCTGATCTCTTTAACTCATTAACATATTCAAAGATAAACTGAGGCCCCTGACCTGGGGCCTGTTGGTACCAGGACACACTGGTGTGCCCAGAGATAGGAGAGCATCTCAGAGTCACTTGCTGTCCTCTTGTTTTGATCAGGTGTGTGGGACTTTGGGTGACTTCAGCCTGCACTGGGACTGTGGGAAAAGCAGATGGAGGATGAGCACAGGAGACAGCTTGGTGGTACCTCCTCCCCAAGGTAAAGTGGAGGACACAGGGGTGGGGGCAAGCTCAGAATGGGGGTGCTGTCCTGTCTGCAAGGACTTACCTGCTCCCAGGAGACAAAGCAGTGTCCAGCATAGGAGCCCAGGGTTCATGGCACAGTGAGGCAGGTAGCACTGCACCTGATTCAGGGCTTGGTCCTCTGGGGAAGGGCCAAGTGAGTTCTGGGCCTTGATTTTCCTGTTGGGAGGGGAATACTGTGACGTCACTGTCCTCTGTCCTCCCCCTACAGGCTTCTGGAGGTCCAGTGCTCCCCACAACCTGAACTTCCTCCCTGTCCTGCAGAGCAGAAGGGCTGGGTAAGGACAGAAGCATCTGTGATGAAACAGTTGCTCGTCTGTCTGCACTGCCCCAGCTCCCAGGCTGCCCCACCACACTCTCAGCCTCTTCCCTCCTAGTGCTGCGGTGCTCCATGCTGGAGCTCACACACCTGCCCATCGGCAGAGGGTGAGGAGCCTGTGACTAAACCCTGTTCCAGCTCTTCCTGGCTGTCCCAAGGTCATCTCTCCGATGCTAGATTCAACCAAATTTTCTGGTTCTAATTTTTTCTTCTTTTTTTGTCCTCAGAAAACATTACCAACCCTGAGTGGTCAATTGTGCAGAGTCCCCAAGATTTAGTCCATCTGATCAGATCCAAAGTGCACCTGGGCTGCCTGTAAATTATTAAGAGCACAGATTCCACAGAAATAATACTAGGGCTTTATCAGCTCACAGCACAGACCTAGCCGGCCAGTTTGGGATTCAGCACCCTCAAGGCCATCTTATGTGTAGTGCTCTGGATAATTTCTGTTAATGTCTCCAGATCTATCCTGCCTTCAGAGGCTGACCCCAGTGTTCTATGTTAACTGGCTCACTTCTTCTCTAACTCCAGAGTGAATTTGACTAATGGGAGACAAGGGCAGGAGAGCAGAGGGAGGTAGGTTCACCACCGGTCCTGATTTGTCTATGCCCTGGCTCTTTTCTTACTGCAATATTTTATATTGGTTACTTCCCCTACCAGAGGTCATAGCACCTTAGGCAGCCTTGGTCCAAAGCTACAGTACCAGATGCTTTGGGAGCCACAACCTCTCCTACTTATTTCAGGCCAGTGTGAATAGGAACAACAGATTCTGCTACTCCTAGGCTACTTCAGCTTCTCTTATTGGGTTCCCTTAACCCTGCCACACCTTTGCAAATACTCCTTTTATCCCTCCTTGATATCTCCAGGACTACGACTAATAGACACAGCAATGGCAAAGTGAGTCTGGTACATTTTATTTTGCCTTAAGAGAACATTCTGTCATTAGAAGTAATAAAATTTCTAACAAATATTCTGCAATGAGCATTGCTAAAAGAGTCAGGAGAACCATGAGAAATACGTATATGAAAGTAAACCATGTGACAGGTGACACAGAATCCAAAGAGATTCCAGCAGAGAATCATGGTGCATGCTCACCTACTCTGACCTATCCCCATAAAAGATGGGAGTCATAGACAAATAGATGCTTGTATTCTGTACAGTCCAATTAAGAAATGCATCACATAAGAATAAGACAGGAACATACTCATGACCACATAAAATATGGAGAAGGTGAGACATGCTTTTTGCTGAGATATACAACAAATTTAGTATGAAAATGAGCTGGACTGATAAGGGGCTAAGACATAACTGAGAATAGCTGGCTGAAAGAAAGCTATAGAGAAAGAAAAAAATTCTCACTTGCTGTTGAAGTCATACCAAGAACCATGAGCTGTTATAAATTTAATAATTTGAGAAATTGGGCATTCATCAATCTCAGCCATTAGCCTTCCATTTTGGCGTTCAGCATATTTGCCAATTGGTGAATTGATTTGTGTGTGTGTGTGTGTGTGTGTGTGCGTGTGTGTGTGTGTGTGTGTGTGTGCCAAGCAAGCAGCCTGCTCTACTTTTTGTGAGTGGAGTTCTGGGTGACTCAGCACACCCCCTTGGCAGCTGCACAGGGAGACACTGGGCACAGAAGAGAAACATGGGGTTCTCTGCACACGGGGCTTGCAACTTCCTGTGGAGTCCAGCATGGACCTCCCAGTCCTTCAGTTAATGGATCCCAATGTAAGAAGTCTTGCACCAGGACATGGGCTTCTCCCTGTTGGTGCTAAAGAGGATGACAGGATAAAGGAAAATAAAATGTGTGTTTTATATTATTTTATAATATTTTACAAGAAAAACAAGTTAAGGAATTCATGGATTTTAATCCAAGCCACAGTGATGGTAAGAATTAAGTTTCTCCCTTGATCTACCCTCAGAGGAACTCAAACAGATATTTAGTAAGAGACTTATAATCTCTTTTTGATAATTCTGATAGCCCATTATCTTCAGGTCTAATGGCAGAGTTTGTTGCATCTATTAACACTCTCCCTAAGTGGATTGTTCACTTGTGTGTTTTATAACTTTATAACAAAAAAAATCAGATTTTCCTGTCCTCCAGAGAACACATGCTTGGTATCCCAAGGAACCAAAGCCAAAGTGATGTTATGTGTGCTAGTGAGAATCCCAGATCACTCAAGCAGGCGCAAGCTTTTTTCTTCTCCCTTGATAAGAAAGTGAAATATGAATTTAATGTTGGAAGCTACCATTCCTTGGCACAATTACCAGAATATTTCAAATTGAGCAAAATACCATTATGTTGTTTGTATTTACACATCCACACTGCAGTGATAGACCTCAGCTCACTCTAGGTTTTATGCTGCAGGAGCCCACATAGAATGAGATCCCACTCCTGGGGAGTCTGGGAAGAGCTTCCAAAAAGGCAACTTTTTCTTCTGGTTGAGACGGGGGCTTCCATAAGGACTGCCCACCTCCAGCCTGTGGCTGCCCTTTTTGTGCAGAGAGCAGCTGGCTGTGGAGAGCTGCGGATGGGCTGCCACAGTGGTACAGAGAGGTCTGGCTAGTGCTCCTGGGTGCCAGGGTTGGGGGAAATGCTCAAGCTTGTTTCAAGAGACACTGTACCCTTCGGCGACATCAACTTTGGTCCTGCTGCCACCACTACCTGAATAATGGATCAGCTTCAGCCCCTGTCTTGGGTCTTGTGGATATCAGAACATTGAATAATGGTTCCTAACCTGAACACATTCCAGGATCATCTCTTTTCTTGTCTGCATAACGTGGTGTCTTGCTGTCTGGGTAATCCCACGAAGGCTGCTGGAGACAGAAATTTTGTTCCTCTTGTAAAATATTATAAAATAATATGGAACACACATTTTATTTTCCTTTAACCTGTCATCCACTTTAGCATCCACAGGGAGAAGCCCATGTCCTGGTGCAAGACTTCTTACATTGGAATCCATTAACTGAAGATTCTGGAAGAGCAGAGGAGCGATGTGAGTGAGGATGAGGATGCCCTGGTGCAAAATGCTATCATAAGGAAGACAAGACTTGAGAAGTACGGGACTCTGCAGAGGAAAGAGGACAAAAGGCTTGGACCCCGGATGTTGTAAACCCATGACAGGGTTTTGCAGCTGTTTTCAGAACTCATCTGCTCCCAGGAGACAAAGGGTCACACAGAAGAGTTTGGGATTTATGGCAGGGTCACAGTGAGGAGGGGTTCTCTAAGATAAGTGCTGTGATCGTCAGAACTGTTCACCTGGGGCTCAGAGGCTGCTCTCTAGGGAACAGTCTGGTGGGCCTGTGGTGTCACTCCCCCATCCACCTGATCCAGGTCCTTCTGACTGGGCTCAGGCAGGATGGACCTCCTCTTGTGAAGGCTGTTGCCTGGGGAGGCCTGCAGGGAAGATGGGGTGCAGCAGACACTCACTGGGCTTAGGGCACAGCCTGCGCCTCACTTTCCCATGTTCCTTTGAGGCAGTTGCTCCTCTGTCTGCACCTGCTCCTAACGCCAAGGCTGCCTAGTCAAACTTATTCAACTGTGGATCTCATTAAAGATTAGAGGTATTTCCTGCATCCTGCATAGCTGTAGGTAGTCTAGCAATAACTGAAAACTGCTGCAACATCTGCATAATATTGGATCCAAGCCCTAATTTTTCTTAACCCTTTCCCTCCTAGGCTGCTCTCCCAGACCCTCTCCAGAGCCAACTTAGATCCTAGTGGACCACAGTGCCATCCTGTGGCCAATAAGTGAAGTTTCATCATTGCTTCTACAATGGCCCAAGGGATGCTGGGAAATGTCTGCAGAGTGAGCTGGGGGACTATTCCAGAAGCGCCATCCTGCAGGTTTTAAACCCTTTTCCCAACACTAGTTCTAACCCTATTACTTTGAGTTATCCAGCCTAATATCCCACCCTCATTCTAAATAACTCTTATCACATAGCTGCAGTTAAAGTCTGATTGATATTTTCTTCCTTAAAACTATCATATAAAGGGAGCAGGATAGAATGGGATGAATGGAAGAAAATTGGATTTATCCTGAAGTAGGAAGAACATACACAAATTTAAGTTATTTAATTTCCATTACCAAAGATGCAATACATGTCGCCCCAAATAACAATTAATGTTACCATAAAAATAAAGATTAGCAAAAATTGGGGTGATAATGAGATTGCCTTCAAGACAGTGTCAAATACATATTAACGAAAAATAAAATTTGAATGTAAACAACTTGTAGGCAACAAGTAAACATGAAGGGAGCAGTATCCAATGTGGAAAATAAGGATGGATAATTAAGACCAGCAAAGGACCTTCCACAGAAAATGATTAATGTGTACAACGCACATCTGCATCATGATCTGAGCAGCAGAAATGGAACCAATGATTCTGGAAGAGCAGAGGAGTGGTGTGAGATGACGATGAGGATACCCTGGTGCAAAATACTGTCATAAGGAAGCAAGGAGAGAGAGCCTCCTTCCTTTGTGAGCAGGAAGGAGGTGATTGTGTCACGCTGTGGCTAAGCTGCTGGCACAGAGATACACCGCTGAGTCTGCCTGCTCTGTGCGCTGGATCTGCAGAGTGGAGACGGATCCCCTAGACCTCTCTGCAGAGAACCGATCACTGGGCAGCCCCGAATCGTCTGCTATATCCTTGCCTTGGAAGTAAATTAGAAACTCTGGGCCCTGCCCGGGGCTCTGTCGGTACCAATAAAGGACCGTATGACCTGAAATTGGATCACACCTGAGAGCTACATCCTTTCCCTTCTCTGTGACCTTGTTACTGGGGGACTGGGAGACTCCAGCACCTGTGTGATCTGTGGAGACAGAAGTTGAGAACAGAATGAAGAAAACAATTGTAGTCAACACACACACACACACACACACACACAGAAACTGCTTGTTGTTCTGAGGACTCACCTGTCTGCAGGAGACACAGGGCTGCCCAGCAGAGGAGCCTGGTGCCCATGGCAGAGTCAGAGGGTCAGAGCAGGGTGGGAACGTTACCCGATCAGGGTCACAAGCAGAAGCAGAGGAGGAGGGACGTCCTCGGTCCTTGTCCCAACACAGAACAGTTCCCGCAGTGACATCACTTTCTGTCTCAATCCCTACAATGTCAGGAACACAGGATTCATATTAGAACACATTTGAATGACTGCTTTAGATATTTATTAGCTCCTTTTAAATAACATCAATGCATCTTTTGTGTCTTCACTTTGTGATCCAGAGCTGTCTGGACCCGGAGGCGTCACTCTGCCTCTCTGAGTTGAACTTCTCATCCCACAGCCGCTCCTCTGTCTGCTGGGCATGTTCTCTAGGATGTGCCAACAGCGCCCCCAACACAAGGCACCAAGAGGTGAGCTCACTGTCTTTCCTGCAAGGCAGGGTCCCCAGTGCCATCCCCATTCATTCCCCAGCCTCCCCCATTCTCCCAGTCACAGGTGCCCGACAGGATTGTCCCATCACATGGGTCCCCTCACAATCTGTATTTCATTCCTCTCCTCTAGGACCACTCCCACCTTTGTTGGCTATAATTCAGAAAAGATACCTTGTTGGCAAACTCATAGTTTTTTTTTTTTTTTTTTTTCTTTTACCACCAGTAAATATATTTCCCTCCATCTCAGTATTTAATGAATGGGGATTATAATTCTGACTAAATGGTTATTTTTGATCCTCTTTCTTGACTTCCCTTGTTTCTTTCAGTCTATTCCACAAGGAGAGGTTTATCTTTTCCTCTTGACTGCTTTTAGAATCATCTCTTTGTTACTTATGTTTCCGAATCTCATTATAATAAAAACATTCATCTTATTTCATATTCATTTGAATTCTAATGTCTCATCACAATCACTTATTCTCTATACTTTCTCTTTTTGAAACTTCAATTATTATATGTAAGAAAAACGGGAAATTCCAATTAAAAAGTATATCTTCTACTATGCTGGAAACCACAGGCTTTTGACTCCTCATCCCTTCAGCTCTCCCTAAGGTTGCATATTTAATTTTCAATGCTGGAGTCTCTGTAACTTCTTCAGCCCTGTCCTTGACATCACTAATAATCCCTTAGAAGCATTTCATCTTTTCTTCATTTCCATTTTGTGTACAGTGATAATCTTAATCATTTCTGTATTTAATTTTATTATTTTTTAATGTTACCTTGATGGTTTCTGACAGTCTCTTTTTTCTTCTTCACATTTCAATTCCCTTTAAATATGGTTCTACAAACTTTCCTATCTTTGAGTGGTTAAAAATTTATTGTCTCCATACACTTCTATTGCTTATTGTTTCTGCTTACTTCTCTTCATTGGTTTGTATTTTAATAGTCTTAGTAGTAGAAACATATTTATCCGACATTAATCTGTGGAGTTCAAGAGAGGCCTGCACTGAGAGTAAAAAGAACTTCAACACTCCATAGCTTTTCCACTGTCTCCAGTCTTGTGGCCAAATTCATGGGGCCAAGAACTGTCTGTTGCACTCTGGGTTGCTAAACGCTCTCACGGTTTAGGTTCCTGGGGAACATGCTCTCAGGACAGCCACAATGGACCTTCTAGAACACAATTCTGATTTTCTGTTACTTTTCCATGATACCTTCTCCTTAAATTAGCAACTATAAGGCTGTTCCCATCCTGTTCATTCAAGGGAAAATAATATAAAAGGAACATTTTTTAAAAAAATTCTAAATCTACAAATGTGCCCTCTT